GGGATGGGGGATGCCAGGGAGGGGACAAGGTCCTGCAAGGACACAGGAGGGACATGGGGACACCTTGGATCCATGTCCCCAAGGGTTCCCAGTGTCCCTAGGGGACATGGGGACATAAGAGGGACACAAGGATATGGCAGAATCCATGTCTCCAAGGGTTTCCCACTGTCCTGGGGACATGGGGCCACCTCAGATCCATGTCCCCAAGGGTTCCCAATGTCCTTGAAGGGACATGGGGACACAAGAGAGACCATGGGGACACCTGGATCCATGTCCCCAAGGGTTCCCAGTGTCCTTAGGGGACATGGGGACACAAGAAGGACCATGAGGACACCTTGGATCCATGTCCCCAAGGGTCCCCAGTGTCCCTAGGGGACATGGGGACATAAGAGGAACAAGGGGACACGCGGTTCCATGTCTCCAGGGGTTCCCCAGTGTCCAGGGGACATAGGGACACAGGAGGACATGAGGACATCCCCAAATCCATGTCCCCAGAGGTTCTGCATTGTCCAGAGGACATGGGGACACTCCAGCATCGTGTCCCTAAGGGTCCCCAGTGTCCCTCAGGTGACATGGGGACACAGGGTGGACATGGTGACATCTGGACCCATGTCCCCAAAGGTTCCCAATGTCCTTAGGGCACACAGGGACCCGAGAGGGACATGGGGACATGCCATGTCCCCACTGGTTCCCCAGTGTCCTGGGGACATGGTGACACCGCAGCTCCATGTACCTCAAGGCTCCCAGTGTCCCTCAGGGGACATGGGGACACAAGGACATGAGTGACCCCAGATCCATGATCCATGTCCTCAAGGGTTCCCAGTGTCCTGAGGGACATGAGGACACACAGGGACATGGGGGCACCCAAGGTCCATGTCCCCAAGGGACACAAGAGGGTCCTGGGGACATCCTGGATCCATGTCCCCAAGGGTTCCCAGTGTCCCTAAGGGGGACATGGGGATACAGGAGGGACATGGGGACACCCAAGGTCCATGTCCCCAAGGGTTCCCAGTGTCCCTAAGGGGGACATGGGGATACAGGAGGGACATGGGGACACCCAAGGTCCATGTCCCCAAGGGTTCCCAGTGTCCCTAAGGGGGACATGGGGACACAAGAGGGTCCTGGGGACACCTGGATCCATGTCCCCAAGGGTTCCCAATGTCTCAAGGGACATGGGGACACAACAGGGTCCTTGGGGACACCCTGGATCCATGTCCCCAAGGGTTCCCAATGTCTCAAGGGACATGGGGACACAAGAGGGTCCTGGGGACGTCCCGGATCCATGTCCTCAAGGGTTCCCAGTGTCCCAGAAGGACATGGGGACACAGGAGGGACATGGGGACACCCGAGGTCCATGTCCCCAAGGGTTCCCAGTGTCCCAGAGGGACATGGGAACACCCCAGCACTGTGTCCCCAAGGGTTCCCCAGTGTCCCCTGGTCGCTACGCTACCTAGGGGGAGGGGGGACGGGGATGGGGACGGGGACGGGAGGACCCACCTGGCGTGTCACCGGAGGCCGAGGGTCCCG